GCTGTATATATTGTCTGACTTTTATTTTGTGCAGTAAAGATACAATCTGCTGTTTGTTTTTCATTGAGTTGACCAGTCTACAGTAGCAGCAGCTAGCTAACTAACTAACTAACCGGTGGCTGTAAAGAGCGATCCCCTCCATTTACCCACAGCAGCTGTAGTCCCACGGCATTGAGCCACTCCCACTGTTGTTGTGGTCCTTCACTGCTCTGAAATGGGCCCAATATATTTTTAGCTTCTCCCAGCGCTCCGCCATCATTTGGAACTACGTGATCCAGGCAGCTTCACTGGCCAATCGTGACTGYTACACGCTTCGGCACCTTCACGCCCCAAACAGTGCCGGCCTCAGTACTACCTCGAGAGGAGGTCCGAAAAAGTGGTCCGAAAGTGGGCGGGAGCCACAGCGGAAAGACCGAAAACGGGTGTGGAGTGGGTGGAGCCAAACCGAACGGTGTAGGTGGAAAAATGCAATGGGAGAGGTTCCCAGGAGCTCGGCGCAAGGCCAGATCATTATAAATGTCTAGTACGACGTAATGGTTCAAAGCGGGTCTCAATATCGTAATGATTACGGTGAGATCGTAATGGTTGACACCTCTGCGCATTATACTTGAATAAATACGGTAGGTAGGTCAAATTTACACATTTAGACGCCAAAACCTTCATTTGAAAATTAAGCTGAAGTCTGATCACTGACCTGTAGCGCCCGACCTTCACCCACAGGATGTCCTTGTAGCGAGGTTTCTTCCCAGCCTTGCAGTCGTTGCAGAACCAGCTGCCTTTGGGCATCTCCATGTTCAAACACTCGCGGTGAAACGCCGCCGGACACGACTCGCAGCAGAGGAGGCTTCCTCCTGCGGTGCGGAATGAGAAACAAGATGAAGACGGGCCTCGTACGAGCTTTTCTCACCAGGTTCGGGCTGGAAGTACCTTCAGTGCAGACGAAGCACCAGCTAACGTTAACGTGCTCGTGGTTCTTGACGCCGCGCCGGGGGGAGAAATGGTTGGGGCAGATGATGCTGTTGTTGGAAAGCACCACGCAGCCCGCCGCCATGCACAAGTCTGTGGCGTGATACGCCACGGGGCAGCGAACGCATCGCACCAGTCGACCTACAAACAAGAGAGGAGCAGAGCATCTGAGCAGCAGTATGGTTTTACCTGAAGCAACACCTGTCGCTCCTCTGCTCACCTTTAGAGACGGACGAGCTGTTGGGACTGGCGATGAAGCAGGTGAGGCAGACGTGGATGGAGCAGCGGAAACCTCGGTTCACCGGCGCCGTCGGGGCGAAGTTTGCGATGCACTCTCCGTGATAAAACTTCCCGCAGACCGGAATCATGCAGCGTCGCACATCCTCGCCGCGCTTTTTACACACGAAGCAGGTGTGCACRCCTGAAGAAGTCACAAAGTTGATGAAAGAAATCACATTTTACGAATGCTTGTTGACGAAGGATTGTTTTTTGTTCATTCATTAGTTTAGTTTATTTATATTATTCATAAAAATATCTATATACAGTAAAATAAAAAGAAAACGTACATCAT